AGCTGCGGCCGGGCAGAGCCCCTTCCTTCCCTTCCCTTCCCCTGGGCAGGGCTCCCGGCACTCCATCGGGGAGTTCCCAAGCCCACTTCTCCTTTTCCTCCCTTAGTTTTGGGAAGTGATAAGTGATGAGCATGGCATTGACCCAGCCGGAGGCTATGTCGGTGACTCAGCGCTGCAGCTGGAGAGGATCAATGTCTACTACAATGAATCATCCTGTAAGTGTGGCCTGAGGAGGGATGTCCATGGGAAGGGGCACAGGAATCTGGGAGAGAAGGGGTTTGGGAGGTTGTGTTACAGGCTCCTCCCATGTCCTCAGTCCCCCAGCTCACCCCATTGTACACAGAAAAGGTAGCAGAATTATAGAATCATCAAGGTTGGAAAAGACCTCTAAGATCATCAAGTCCAAGCATCAGCCAAACACTACCATGACCACTAAAACATGGCCTGAAGTACCACGTCCACACGTTTTTTGAGCCCCTCCAGGGCTGGTGACTCCACCAGCTCCCTGGGCAGCCTGGGCCAAGGCCTCACTGCCCTTGGCAGGAAAGAATTCTTTCCTAATATTCAGTTGAAACCTCCCCTGGCACAACTGAAGCTCACTTCCTCTCCTATCACTGGCTACCTGGGAGAAGAGACCAACCCCCACCTCACTCCAACCTCCTGTCAGGGAGTTGTACAGAACAAGGTCTCCCCTCAGCCTCCTCTTCTCCAGACTGAACACCTCCAGGTCCCTCAGCTGCTCCTCACAAGCCATGTTCCCCAGGGCCCTCACCAGCTTTGTTGCCCTTCTCTGGACCCACTCCAGCCCCTCAAATGTCTTATCCTGTGGCACCCAAACTGACCCCAGTACTCAAGCTGGGGCCTCCCCAGTGCTGAGTCCAGGGGTGTGATCCTTCCCCTACTCCTGCTGGACACACTAGTTCTGACACAGGCCAGGATGCTGTACTAGATGATCTGCTTTCTGAGTGTTATCTCACTGGGGAGAGGGAAGTGGCACAAGGGGCTGTCCTTAGGGCCTGCAGGTGGAGGTTTGTTTATTATTTAACACTCTGCTAGGTGTTTGCTCTTTTATGGGAGGGTCATTTCATCAGATGTGTTTATCAATTGCCCCAAATTCAACCGTTGGTTACATGAGTCTGCATCTGCAGTACTCTTGTGATGATGACTGAGAGGGCTGGGCCACAGGCAATGGAGAGCTCAGGGGTGATTCATTAATAAGATGCCAAAGGTGCCCAAATCCTCAAGTCAGTCTGGAGGTGAGGGGTGTTAACTGTGTGAAATGGGGATTGTGAGTCCTTTGGTCTGCTGATGTGAACCTGCAAGCGTGAGCATTTCATCTTTGTCCAGCTCCTCTTAGTTCATGTTATTTACCTGAGCTTTCTTGAGCAGTTTCAACTGGACACAGAGTCTTTATTTTGTGCTCTGTGGTAGGTGTGCTGATCTACTACTGCTTGCCACCAAGTAGCTCTTCCAGTGGAGGTGAATCCTTCAGGCACAAGAGCTTGTGAGATGTGCTAGATAATTTGAACATAAAACCTTCACTCATGCCATTATTAACAGAAAAGATGATCTACTTTCCTGTAATGAACACAGCATTTTTTCTAATTAGAAATTTATCTCCCTCCTATCTGTTGCAAAAAAGGAGCTTACAAGTGTGATATGGCCAAAGTATGACCCAAAATAGGTCAGGTCTGTTTTTCAGGCCGAGTTGATGTGTTCCCATGGTGCTGGGTTTGTTCACCATCATGACTTCCTCTGCAAGGTACATTTATGTATCTATATTAGACTGCAATGTGAGACATAATGCATTTGTGTATTGAGAGCTCTAACCGTGCTGGCTTCCTTCAGAACATTAAGGCCATGCTTACTTCTTGTTGTAGCCCAGAAGTTCGTGCCCAGAGCAGTCCTGGTGGACCTGGAGCCAGGAACCATGGACAGTGTGAGGTCTGGTCCTTTTGGTCAGCTCTTTCGGCCTGATAATTTCATCTTTGGTATGTGGACATCACTTTTTTCTTAAAAACCCACCCTATCTGTAAATCAGCTAAAAGATTCTGTTCACTGAAACAGTCATTCTTCTCTTAATCAGCCCTGCAGTTAGCAAACTACTGAAAGTTTCCTGTGGTATTTGGATAATGTACATTTGCTTTCCATAGATATGAACTCTGGAGGAATCCTGAGGGTATTTCTTTACAACAAACTGCATGGAAATTCTACAGAAAATAGAGGGGGGTGGGGGGAAGCTCAACCACAAACCAACCAAACTGCTCTTTGCTTGAATTCACATTAAATGCTTGAGCATTAAGTTGTTTATGGGCTGTGTAATTCAAATTTTTCCCAGATTCTCACAGTGTAGTAAAAAGTGGAGGAAGACCAACTGTAATATGGAAAACATTGTCATATGCAGCCAGTTACTGAGTTATTTACCAACATAATGAGGAACAATCTGAGTGCACGTGGGGAACTTCTGTTTTTGTGGTGTTCTTGCAGAGAGTTGTTCAAGCCTTCACTGCTTCACTTTGGACTTATGTAGAACCTTCCATCTGAGCTTAAAAATGCACATTACCAGGATTAAATTTCACAGCATCCTGACAAAGTATGGAGGCCTTGTTGGTCCTGGGCACTAAAGGAGAAACAATGTGTGAAAGATGAAACAGGAAGTCTAAGTGAGAGCTACCATGAGAACTCTGGTGTCCTTTTGGTTTCCAGGCCTGCACTAGTCACACAGCACATTTCCCCCTGCCAAGGCAAGCCTGGGTTGCAGCTTATTTGGGATATTGTGTTAACATAAGGAAGGAACAATGCCAGGGGCAGACAGAGGAAAAGATAAACAGTCTCTGGGTGGTATAAAACGAACTGGTCTGGATTGTTGCTGTTGAGTTGAGGAGTAAGAAGCCATACAAGTTACTTTAACCCTTTAGTTGACTCAAAACTTTTCAATGCTGTCCCCACTGTTCAGGGTCTCTTTCAAAGGAGCTTTGAGTTACAACATGTAGAAGTGATCTTGGGGAGGAAAGCTGTAGACACAGGCAGCTTTATGGTGTTTCTGTAATTGGGTTTTTCCTTTCACTCCCTTTCTCCTGCATGGGCCACACAAGCCCTCTGAAAGTAAATTCTCCAGACCTATGCAATACCTGAACTGGAGCATTGCAGTTTGGCATGCCACCAGTAAAACCAAAGCAAAATCAATTCAGAGTGTCTTCAACAATAGCCCAGTTCACTGCACTCCCTTCTTGCCAAGCTAACAATGAACCAGCAGCATGTGACCACCCCATCTGTGACAGAGGCCCCTGCCAGCATCAGGCACTGTCCTCCCAACCTGCTGAATAATGCACAACGGCTGCCTGAGTGCTGCAGTAATGATCTGCTCTGGCAACAGCCAACAAAGCATTTTGTTTTCTCTTCAAAAAAATCTGGCCTGGGCCCACAAAGGATTTTGTGGCAGAAGCTGGCAGTTCCATACTTGCTGTACCCCAGGCTGTTGGGGCTCATTCTGATGGAGATGTTTTCTGCCCCTGCTTGTCTAAACCTGCATGTGCCCACGTAGCCAGTAAGCATGGACCATCAGTCAGGATTTCATTCAGGTGCATTGAGCACCAGCTCATGTGCTCCAGATACAGGAACTTTAGCTCAGACCAGCAGCAGATTGAGATGGGCACAAGGCTTGTGCTGAAGAGGCAGTGATCTGAAAGGTGGAGGAGCTGGGGTGGAGTCACTTTGCTTTATGAGGGCAGCAGGTCTCCTGGCCTTCTAGTTGTACGATTGCCCACCAGGAATGGCTGTGAACTCTGATGTATCTCCCCTTGTTAGCCAGCTTTCATATCTGCATTTGTCATTGTTTCCTTGTGCACACCCATGCTAGCTTTGCTGCACAGACACCACCCTAGTTTAAGTGTTCTGAACTGGTAGGGGCAACCACAAAATGGTTGTTGGCCAGTCAGAGGAGCTGTCCTTCCCTCTCCTCAAATCATACCGTGTGCTCTGCACCAGGGCTGTTCATCTTGGGCTTCTGAGCACTGCTGTGCAGGCTACTGACCTCTCTTCCCAGGTTTGTCTTTTATTTCAAGCAGTGAAGAGAGGGAGTGAAAGAAGGTTGCAGGAAGTAGTTGCCATTTTAGAGGTTAAAAAATAAGCTGACCATTAAGGTAAGAGGTTTCCATGCATGTGCAGCTCAGCCTGAACATGTGTGGTAACCCTGTGAGGTGCTGGAGAAAGAGATGGTGGTGGAAGGCTCTGGAGGCACCAAGAGTGCAGAGAAGTTGTGGGATTGCTTCTTGCAGCTCTTGGTAAATGCAGAGTGAGAAGAAGCAGAGGCAGGACACTAGAGATGGGCTGCACACAATGCAGAGCTTACAGGATTGGCAAAAGATTTGCCAAGTCCTGGTTCTTGTGGACACAGGCTCATTTTCCACTTACAGATTTAATTCTGGTGGAACTTCATAATTTACACATTTTGTCTTAATTTTTTTGGAGGTCTGGTAGGTACCTGACAAGATGGTCAAGGTTTCCAGGTGTGTGGCAGCCTTCTCAGAGCCCTGGTACCTCCACACTGTGCTGTCTTGTAGGCAGTCTGGAGGTTCCAGGGCTTATTGGATATGTTCTTCGTGCTGGTGGTGGCCTTTGAGTGCTACAGAGCCAGCAGGTCTGGGTGGTTCAGGCTACTGGGCATATACATCTGCACAGCAAAATCACATGGAAATGCTGGAGACCCAGGCAGGTGGCTGACCAGTGGACAAAGTGCAGTGGTGCCACGGGAGCCACCAAGAGCTGTGGGCTGGGGGGAAGCAGTTGGGGTTGGTGTAGGCAGCCCTGCCACAGTCCCACTCAGCAGTTAAATACAAGGGTTGGGTTAGTGCAGTAGAGACAGTGTTGGGAACTGAAGTAGTCAGGTGGCATCTAGGAGTCTGTGGTTTAAATGAAGGCTGAGGGATCCTAGCTCAGTGGAGGGCCTGAAGGAGGACAGGTCCACTTCTGGATTAGGTGTTTTACCTGTGAACTTAATCTGCAGACTAAGCAGAAGCAAGCAAAAACAGTCTCCACTACTGCTTTTTTTTCCCCCATGAAAATATCTTTTCCATGTTTGTAAGAGCAATTATCATTCTCCTCTTATTTTGTTCTTTGGTCCTACTCTCATTCTCTCCTAAATCTCCATTCTCTCCTTTTCTCCTTTCTTTCCTTACCTCACTGCCCACTGTAGAATCCCAGCAAGGTAGGGGTTGGAGGGGACCTCTGGAGATGAACTTGTCCAACTCCCTTTTAAAGCAGGGTCACCCAGAGCAGGACGAGGTGACGTTTACACAAGGGACAATCTCCAAAATAAAGTCCTAGACTTAGAATTTGGCTTTGTTAGGATCCTTTCTACATCTTGGAGTGATGCCTGCTTGCTGGCATGCAGCCTGATGTGTGCTGTGTGTGGCAGGGGATCTGCTCAAGCCCACCACAGATGGTGACCAGCATATTTAATTCTGGAAGGATGTTACTGTGTGCTGTGCTCAGCTGGGCAGGAAGCTCTGGGCTCCCTGGGTTCAAAGAAAGAAAAATAGAGCAACATATCAAACAATGCGTTAACTGACCAAATACATTGTGAGGAAACCAAACGTTTATGCAGTGAAAATAAAGTGTATCACACTTAAACAATACCCCAGTGAGCAGTTTACCTGATTTGTATGTTTGGCACCAGCACAGTGCACTGGGAATTGAAATGGGATGTGGTAAGAGGAAGGAAGGGGAAGGTCCTGGAGAACAACACTGAAGCTGACAGGTCTAGACCTATTGCTCTCTCTGAACACAACCCACAAAAGTACCACTGAGTTCACTGCCAAAATGTGTGTAGTAGTCACTGAAGAACAGGAGGATAAAAAACTGGTCCCTCATTTAATCCTCCTCATTATCCACATGCTAACAAAACAGTGACATAGGACGTGATCCAGACTGTCCATCATGAACTGAATGGCACGTAAAAGGAAAATGGAAGCTTCTGAGAGGAAAATAAATGGCTCATGGAACATCAGTAGTACAGTTTTGCAAGTTACTTTGCAGAACCTGAAGCCTAGTGAGTTTGTAGGGA